GATCAATGATTCTCTCTCATCACTGATGTTTCTATCTCTCTCCCTCTTTCTTCCTCTCTGAAGTCAATAAAAATATATTTTAAAAATAATAAATAAATAAACAAACAAATAAATGTCACTTCCTCAGAGATTTGCTTTCCCTGACAAGGCAATCTAAAGTTGCACCCAGCCCTAACCGGTTTGGCTCAGTGGATAGAGCATCGGCCTGCGGACTCAAGGGTCCCAGGTTCGATTCCGGCCAAGGGCATGTACCTTGGCTGCAGGCACATCCCCAGTAGGGGGCGTGCAGGAGGCAGCTGACTGATGTTTCTCGCTCATCGATGTTTCTAACTCTCTATCCCTCTCCCTTCCTCTCTGTAAAAAATCAATAAAATATTTAAAAAAATAAAGTTGCACCCAGTCACCTTTAAAAAAAAAAAAAGGAAGAAGAAAAAACCATTGGTTTGGATTGTTTCCCTCACCTGTCCTGCAAATTAACCCTCTAGTCTTAAGATGTCTTTGATATAATCAACATATTCATTAAACAATACACTATCAACATCTTTCCATTTATGTTTTCTTTAAAACAAAGAGTGTGTATGTGTGTTTTAACCTCACCAGCTGTTTAGTCTTTGGAAGGTATTAATGTTGGGGACTATACATGTTTCATAAACAGGTTTTTTTTTGTTTTTTTAAAATATATTTTATTGATTTTTTACAGAGAGGAAGGGAAAGAGATAGAGAGTTAGAAACATCGACGAGAGAGAAACATCGATCAGCTGCCTCCTGCACATCTCCCACTGGGGATGTGCCCACAACCAAGGTACATGCCCTTGATCGGAATCGAACCTGGGACCCTTCAGTCCGCAGGCCGACGCTCTATCCACTGAGCCAAACCGACTTTGGCTCATAAACAGGTTTTATGTGTGTTTTTTAATCCTCACCCAAAGATATGTTTTTACTAATTTTTTTTTTAAGAGAGAGAGAAACATTGATGGGCCCCGGCCAGGAACTGAACCCACAACACCTAGGTGTAAGGGGACAATGCTCAAACCTACTTCACCACCCAGCCAGGGCTCACAATCAGGTTTTAAGTAAGATACTGCTCTAAGCACTGTCTACAGAGCTGTTGGCTCATCTCTCAAACTAGCTGATGTCTAAGGTCTCTTCCAGGACTAACGTTCTGTAAACTCTATGGTCAACAGAAAAATCCCGTAACTAACACCTGTTGATTGCAGCCTGTGCCAAGAATCATGCTAAACATTCTATGTTACCCAGTGAAACACTGCAAAATATTTCACCTAACTCGGTAAAATAAGTACTCTATGACTCTAATTGTACCCATGAGGAAAAGGGACCAAGAGAAATAAAATAGATCACTCAGATTAAAAAACTGGTAGAGCCAGGTCTCCCACCCAGACTACCTGAATCAAATGGCTCTACTCTGAAACTTGATGCTGGTACATCTGTCATTGTGCCTTTTCTGAGACTTACAGAAGATCAAAAGACAAAAGGCAGGCAAGAAAGAGAACGTATCCAGTTTTCATGAGGATAAAACAGTGAGAGGACCTTTTCAGAGGATTTGCTTTGTGGAATCAATACATGTGGTTGCCTAGGAACACTGTGATTGATTAATTCAACTGGAATGCATCCAGATTGAAATGAAGCATTTCATCCCTGTCATGAGCAATGTGATATGGGCTTCAGGAAGGTAGAAAAACTGGACTATATTAGTGACGGTAATAGGAGAAAGAGGGCCAAGCTTGATGAGTAACATAGACATGCCCAGGCTAAAACAATTCACGCCATCTCTTTGGGAATATGCAGGACTCACTGTGACTCAGCCAGATCACTCCTAGGCTGTATTAACTGGACTACTGTAAGTGGTAGATGGGTAAGGAGTTGAGATAAAGAATATAAGAATGAAAATCACCTGTGATGCCCTAGCCAGTTTGGCTCAGTGGATAGAGCATCGGCCTGTGGACTCAAGGATCCAGGGTTGTGGGCTTGATCCCCAGTAGGGGGCATGCAGGAGGCAGCCAATCCATGATTCTCTCTCATCATTGATGTTTCTCTGTCTCTCTTCCTCTCCCTTCTTCTCTCTGAATTCAATATATATAGAAAGAAAATCACCTGTGACAACTAGATAATGCCAGGAGATTTTCACTTAGAAACAGACTGCCTTACTAGGTTTTCTGTTACAAGATGTTACAGGAAACAACTAAAGATACAGTCAACCCTCTATATCCTCCGTCGTCTGCAACCATGGATGGAAAACATCTGGGAAAAAAGTTATACCATTGCTGACCCTGGTACTAAGTAGTGAGGCCTAAAATGGTTGTGTCTGGACTGAACATGTACAGCCTTTTTTTCCTTGTCATTATTCACTAAGCAATACAGTATAACAACTACTTATTTAGCATTTATAGCAAGCATGTCTAACTCGCGGCCAGCGGGCCACATGCCTCATTGATTTACAGTGTATTATTAGGTATTATAAGTGACCTAGAGACGAATTGAAGTACACAAGAGGAAATGCATGGGTTATATACAACTACTACGCCATTTTATATAAGGAGTTTGAGCATCTGTGGGTTTTGGTATCGATAGGGGTTCTTGGGACCAATCCTTTTGGATACTGAGGGACTATCATATATCATGAAGGTAAGTGGCCCATGAAGCTATCTGAATGCACTTTAGACAGGAAGAGTGTGTCAGGAAAGGAAAATAAAAACATAGCAATCCGTTCTGAATAAAACGAAGGATAGTGGAGAACAGGCTTATGCAACTTTCCAGGGAGTCAGCCAGTCACATGAAGGCAGAAGCTTGGCCCAACTTCAGGGACCCAGAATAGAAGGGGGGAAATGGAAACAATTGAGCTTGTAAACACGTGCCTAATTGAAGGGCAGAAGAAAAGGAGCTGGGGTTTCTGGACCTCTGCATAATAAAGAAGCACTACAGAAGTGTAATAAGAATGGACTACAGGGTGCAGGCAGGAAGGAAAGAGCAGGGAGAATGTAACTCCTAATAAGGAAATGAAACAAAGTTAGGTTACTTAGAAAAAAGAGAGGGAGAAGGGGGGCAGGGGGGGGCAGATAACTACTCAATTATAGAGATCCCAAGATGATCTACCAAAAGGAGCCAAACAGAACAGAAAAAAAGAAGAATCTGCAACAACAACAAAAAAGGAAAGAAATGAAGGACAAATTGGGAAGTAGTTTGGGGGTGGAGATGTATATAGAGGGGTGAGTAGGTAGGAAAAAAAAAGATGGTTTAAAAGGAGCACTCTAAGTATTTATAGCTACAATGTGAAACAAAGTAGAAATTCATAAGGAGAGACAAAGTAGAAATTCATAATACAAATAAGGTTAAGATAGAAAGGGTTACGCATAATCTATGGGTGCTAAGGGAAGAGAAACTAGAAAGAAGGAAGAGAAATGAAGAAATAATATGTGACATACATTGAGATGTCACCGAGTACAGCTTTTCTTTTCCTTATATTGGGAAGGTTGGTCAAATAAAAACATATTAGAGATGACTGAAAAATGATGTTACTAACTTGTAAGCAGCACATAAACATGCAAGTCCCTACTATGTGCAAGGCCCTGACAAATACACTCATAAAATAAGGTCACATCTTTGGAGAGTTTACACATCCTATGAAAACCTAAAAGCTAATTAAGACAACATTTAAAACACACAAAGTCCCATATACAAGATATTAACCTGAGGAAAGAAAGGCCTTGTTTACATTAAAATCATTTTCAAACTCATAAAATCTAGTCATAGTGATTGATTAGACAAATTATTATAATTGGGCCTTTTCTACCATTATTAGTATCTTTTCAACCCAATTACAGGTGTCCCTCTAGTCCACTAATCAAACCAAAAAATTTATTTGCATTTACCTGGAAATATGCCGACATAAAAGTGTTATCCACGACCAAAATAATGTCTCCATGTTTATGGACAGTATGTGCACAGGCTTCAATGTCAATCATCTTCAAGCTAGGGTTTGTGGGGGTTTCAATCCAAACAAGCTAAAACAATTCAGTAAATGATAATAGTTTATCAAAAACACTGTACAGACATACATCCCATATATTGTAACCATCTGGGAGGCTATATGAGAAGAGCTGAATGATGAAGTTGAAAGGTTCAAATCTGAATCCTAGCCCACATAAATTTCTGAGAGGTCATGGCTAAGTAACTTGCCCTTTGTACCCCTCAAATTCTTCATCTGTATAATGGGGCTGGTAATATTTACCTGACAGAGTTGTTGTAAAAATCAAATGAGATAATATACATATAAGCAGAAAAGTACTCAAGGTAATTATTGTAATTATTTTCCATAAAAAAAGAGAATGTATTCCAAAGACATAATTCAGTATCTGGAAATTTTATTCTTAAGGATAACATAGATTGTCTAAAGTTACATCCTAGAATTTTCATTAAAGAGAACTAGCTCTATGATGCAAAAAAAAAAATCCTTAATGTTAAGTTAAATAATTCCAGATGCACTAGAAATTATAAATTAAGAACCCAGGATTTGAAGAGTATGGGTTTTAGAGTGAAGAAGAAAGCAACACACACACACAACAGAAAACCTGGCTACAACTCTGTGGGAACCACGCTGCTCTGAAAAGCTCACTTAAGAAAGAGACCGTATCATATACATATCTGTATATTCCAAAATCTAGTACAAGTCAGGGACATAGTTGATATTTGATAGTTATTTATTTAAGACCAAAGAAAAGAATTCTATTTGTTAAACAAGGTGCTGCTTTATTGAATGACATTATCTACTGATTTCTTTTTAAGAGTTAACATTTCTTTTTTTATTACTTATACTAGAGGCCCGGTGCACAAAAATTTGTGCACTCGGGGGCAGGGGGAGGGGGTTCCCCCAGCCCGACCTGTGCGCTCTCGCAGTCTGGGACCCCTTGGGGGATAACGACCTGCTGGCTTAGGCCTGCTCCTGGGTGGCAGAGGGCAGGCCCAATCCCTAGGTGCAGCCCCTGGTCAGGCTAAGAGCAGGGCCGATTGGGGAGTTGGGGTGCCGCCCCGTCATGCACAGAGCAGGGCGGATCGGGAGGTTGCGATGCCACCCTCAGTCACGCTCAGGGTAG